TTCTGTAACTGACAGTGTAGCCGCGACTAGCTGCAATACTGCTGATGCGGCTTTAAGCAATATTACTCACTCACTCACTGACGGTAATAGTTTTGTTTCCAGCTTTCGGAAACATTAATGTTTTCACCTACATTGGACATTCATATACACAATTTCTTTTGTTAAATTATATTGAGCATGTTGAGGGTTTTATTATAAAGTACATAGGAAACTGTAATAACGGGAGATGACTCAGACTTTGAGTTTGTAAATTACAAAGCATTTTCAAGCTCAAGTCATAAGTTTGCTAAATGCTACATGGAGAATGAAGAGCATGGAAGAAGCATGACCAAAGGACTACTAACGTGCGCATCCGCTTGACCTTATGATATTACGCATGCGCACGGACAGCGCCTAAAACGCGAGAACACGGGACGCGAGATCGTGAGAAAATGAAATGTCGCATTCTCGCGTTCTCGCGATCTCGCATTCTCGTGTTTTGGGCATATTTACCTCGTCTCCAAAGGTCGAGATCGCGAGAATGCGAGATCGTGAGAATGTCCCTTACAGTATTCCATACCTGCGCAATGGCTTCCTCCGATTAGCTTTCTTTCTGACGTCGCGCTGAAAGGAAAGACAGGGTGCGAGTACAGCAGGACATATATGACCTATACCAGGTCAATGACTCCTTGCGATGGCGAGGGATCTCAATCGGTCAAACTGACCTGATTGACCAGTCCCTTGGACAAACTGCACACCTCGGTTTGCTGACCGGTGTCACTGAACACCATTGTACGGTTGACCACCCTTGAATAAAACGCTGATAGGCGTTGGTCATGTGCGATATAAATACTGATGCATGAGTGTTAGTAGTAACTAGCATCGGTCCAGGACCGCTCGGGATTCTGGGACCGCTCCAGATTCTGGGACCAAGATGGCGGCACATCCGTTTCCGGTCACGTGACCTGCGCAGTGCATGATGGGATACCTGCGCGCGCATCCAAGATGGCGTCACTTCCGTTTCTGGTGGCGCGCGCCTGCAAGATGGCGTCGCATCCGTGTCCGGTGGCGCACGCATGCAAGATGGCGGAACATCCGTGTCCGGGGAGGAGGGGGAAAACCCGGAGAAGCGCACGTACGAGGGGGAACAAGATCGACAGGGTTGTTGTTGTGGTGTGGTTCTAAAAATAGAAATAGGCGTGGGGGTGGTGGTGGGGGTGGTGAAGGGAGGGAGGGAGGGAGGGAGGGGGAGGGGAGAAGGGGTGGGAGGGTCGTCAAAGCAAAGGAGGAAAAGCTGTCTTTCGGGAGAGATGGGTGGTCCTGAAAAGGACCGTTTTGATGTTTACATGGTTGTACATCCCACGGTGCAAAGGCACGGGTGGACTTTCATCTGTCTCCTCACAGGACACCTACTGGTGTGCGTTAACCGCCGCACGTAGGTGTCCTTGAGGATGGTCTTACAGTACACACATTCGAAAGTTCCATCCCATGCCCTTGTGCCAAGGGCGTACACAGGTAAGCACCCTTGGCATTTACCGCATTGCCATGGAGGTAGCGATGGCAATGGTGGTACTTCTTCTTTCTTCTCCAACTCCGAGCGACACCCTTTGCACAGTGGCAAAGGGTGCACCACTGAGGCGAGTTCCAGATCCCAGTTTTCAGACATTCTTGATTTTATCACATCAATTTTACAAGTGACACTGACCCACTCGAATCCACGCTTGTTTTATAGGAGAGGCACTGACACCCTGCCTCCCGGTTGGTTCGCCAGGCCGCAGCACCGATTGGTTCGTTCCGGGGCCTGGTCCGCACCTCGGTTTTCCAAAACGGACCGACCCCTGTGTTTCTTTTCCATAGGAAATGGATTTTACCATGGGAGAGAAAGCACAACCCCGGTTCGACCAATCAGAGCCCCGCCTGGTCCGAGCGCCGCTTCTGATTGGCCGATCATCCAGGCTTCGGATTGGTCCGATTTCGATCCGGTTTTTTTTTCTTCTTGGGTAGCCTTGGTATTTTTTGAGGTAGACGGTCGTCTGAATGCTAAAGGAAGGTGAACCTTCATAAGTAGACATGAACGTTGGAATGCCTACGCGATGTACGTGGTGTCACTCCCATGCCAATCGGAATGTCATGTATGTGTGTGTGTGTGTGTGTGTGTATGTCTTCAAACAGACGTTGACGTTGATGCATAGAATAGCGTGTGGTCAGTCAAAATGTGGTGTCCTGTGTGTGTATCGAGTCGTGTCGTAGTGAGATGAATAGAGAAAAATCGATACACCTGCGTGACGTTTGCACGCGTCATGAACTTCGTGTCGCGATGTGAACGTCATGGTTGTACTTTGTGTGTTGTCATGCAAACGTCGTACCCTGTACGTGTTTTCAAATTATTATTATTATTATTTAAGGATACCGAGGTGTTGGCACTCGTGTAGGTCGACAGGCGTACTGTGACGCGTGTGTTCATGCACACGTGATGTTTGACGCGGTGTACTACGTGTCTCTATGGATCTATGGATCTAACTCTATTTATATCTATTTATATCTATGTATTGTATTTTAGACGTGTGCCTCCAAGAGGTCTAGGGGGAGGATGTGGGTTCTTTGTTTTGGAGGGTTGGGGTTTAGCAAAGCAAAGGAGGAAAGTTGTCTTTTGGGTGAGATGGGTGGCCCTGAAAAGGGCCGTTTTGGGGAAGAAACACTTTTCTGCTGCTGCTGTCCACTTGGGGGTTCCAACCAAGAAAAGAAAAACATTTGAACGGGAACTTGAACGGGAACTTGAACGGGAACGCAGGACACGGGAAACGTCCTCCTAGGCAGCCGGCCGTGCTACGTCATTCGTGTACCTCTGTTTCTCTTCGCAGAGATAGTGCAGTTGTAGCTTCTTCTGGTGTTTCACCAGCCCGGTTAGCTTGAGGTAGTCGCAGTCTGGGGACCACTTGTGATGTGCCGCCCAAGGATCGTCGTGGGGTGCCTATTGTCTCAGCCGCACCCCACATTGGAAACAGCACACCCCATCGGCACCCTGAGTGTAGACAAAGCCTGCATGGGCCATCTCTTCAGCAGTCTGATACATTTGCGTGGGCCACGTCTCAAACGAAGCGAGCCTTCTTTCAAAGCGTAGATAATAGTGCGATGGTGTTTGACTGAGCAGTGACACCGCCTCCTCGGCATGACTCTTACTCCAGTATCCATGAGGTTCTGCACTATCCATCACCGCATCTTCGCCACGCGTTGTCGTCGTCGTCGTACCACTCTTCTTTGTTTCAGCCATTCTAGATGATTTTATGTAACATACACTGACCCACTCGAATCCACGCTTGTTTTATAGGGGAAGAACCGGATCGAAACTCACTGCTTTCTGGTTGGTCCAAAACGCAGCGCACCGATTGGTTCGTTCCGGGGCCTGGTCCGCACCTCGGTTTTCTAAAACGACCCGACCCCTGTGTTTCTTTTCCATAGGAAATGGATTTTACCATGGGAGAGAAAGCACAACTCGGTTCGGGTGCTGTCTTCTGATTGGTTGTTGCTGTCTTCTGATTGGTCGGCCATCCAGGCTTCGGATTGGTCCGATTTCGATCCTGTTTTGGGGAAGGGTTGTCCATCCCTCAGACGTTCAGCACCTCTTAGAGTACAGACGTTCATCAGATACACATCGCTATCATGACGAGCAACCAAAGTACGCCCTATCGTTTGGAGAGGAAAGATATCACCCGCTCCAGACGGTTAAGAACTGCTAATCATACCTATCGTTTGACTTTCAACCCAGACTACTTGGACACCGTACCACCGGAACGCGTCCCCATGGAACTGCCAGCTTTATTTGACAGGGTGATCGATGACTTTTATGAACAGATATCAGGTCAGAAGGGAGATCGTATTGGTCTAGGTATCGATCATCCCGCTTTGAACACTCCCATACGGATTCCCTTTCGACGTTTTGAAGATCTCCATGGGCTAACTATTTTGCAAGCCGTGGAAAAAGTCCAACAGTCCAACAAAGACCTGAACATCGATGCCACCATGGATGTGACTTTAGTACACGTCGCAGATCCCAACAGGCTAGGATCGGGCAGTGGCCATCTCCGGCTGAAAAACGTGATTGGACTCGAAGCTTTTTTAACACGCAAACAGTGCATCGTACGGATCAAGAACGAAGATCAATCCTGTTTGGCACGGGCCCTGGTGGTGGCATAGCATTATGCCCACAAGCCTCACCCTCTGACCCCAGCATGGACCGCCCAGCGAAAGAGACTGACGAGAACGGATCGCGTCGACGTTCAAGGCATACGGGCACTGGCCTTGTTTCGAAGCCTTGGCCTGCCCGAAGGCCCCTGTCGGGGTCTGGATGACCTCGCACGCGTGGGACGCGCCTTGACCCGTCTGCATTATCAACTGAAAGTCTACAGTCAAGAGGTGGGTCAGAGACTGTTGTACAAGTGTGATGAGACTCCACCCCACGCCACCGTGCTGCATCTCTACCATCATGATCAGCACTACGATGTCATCACTTCCATGCCCGCTTTTTATGGCTCTAACCATTATTGCGAACGCTGTGACAAACGTTACGACCATCCCGAAAAACATCCCTGCACCAAGGAATACGCTGTCCCCGCTGCTTCTACTCTAGTTATTGCGGACCCCAGGAAGAGCACGGGATCCCTTGCTTGACATGTCAAGGTTGGTTCCCCAATCCAACGTGTTACACCCGACATCTCCAGTCACCGTCAGAGGGAAAACCCAGTGCCTGTCAATCGATTCACAGGTGCCCGAACTGTTTTCAGCTGGTCCGCGTCTTGGAGACCCCCATGGCTCACCACAAGTGCTTCGATGAAGACCATCCCTGCTTGGTGTGCCGAGAACCCATGACCCCAGATCATCGCTGTTACATGACGCCTCTCCGTGAAGGAAACGAGGAGGAGGAGGAGGGGGAGGGGGAGGAAGCGGAGAAGGAGGAGGAGGGGGAAGAGGAACAACATCCCCTACGAGACCATGTTCAATACGCCTTCTACGATTTTGAATGCATGCAAGACACGGGGGAACACATTCCAAATTTGTGCGTGGTGCAACTAGGATGTGGACGATGCATCAGTGAAGTGAGCAAGAACTTGTGCGAACACTGTCCATGGAGAGAAGAAGGGTATGGTCCCAGCCGTGAGATCGTGTTTCGAGGCCCCACCACGCGACATGATGTGTGTGTGTGGTTGACCACGTTGTCTGAAATACCCAAGAAGAAGCCCCACCCAGAGGAAGAGGAGGGCAGCACACGCAAGGGGACGACAGCTCACCTGGGGAAAAAAAGAAAACGGGATGACACCCCCTCAAGAAAGCACGCTTCCAAACGACAGGCATCACCCCAGCAGGAGGGGGAGGAGTTGGGGGAAGAGGGGGAGGAGATGGAAGAGGGGGAAGAGGCCATGGAAGTGGAGAAAACAAAGAAGCCAAAGAACAAGAACACCTCCTGTCATACAGTCCCGAAGGAGGATCGCATTTATGTGATGGCCCATAATGCACGATCCTATGATTTACACTTAGTCCTGAAGGGTCTGTCCCCCCTCCTGGTGACACTCCCCACCAAGATCCGGCATGGCCAACAAATTTTGCAGATGACCCTGGGACGGTTATGTTTCGAAGACAGCTTAAATTTCATCCCTTACCCCCTGAAAGCCTTTCCCAAGAGCTTTGGGCTGAAAGAAATGAAGAAAGGGTACTTTCCACATTTTTTCAATACGAGAGTCAACCAGACCTACAGAGGTCCCTATCCACCAGCCGTCACGTACGATCCCGATGGCATGTCTCCCACAGAACGCACAGCCTTCCTCCAGTGGCATACCCAAAAAGTGCAAGAAGGAGCCTTGTTCGACTTACAAGGAGAACTTTTAACCTACTGCCAAAGCGATGTGGACATTTTGAGACGGGGATGCGCCGACTTCCGACAGAACGCCATTCACTCGGTGGGCATGGATCCCTTTGTGGAAGTGATGACAGCTGCAGCGTTCACCATCAAATCCTTCCGAAAACACGACCTGAAACCCAATACCATCGCCATTCTCCCCCCTCAAGGTTACCAACCCAAGAGAAACTATTCCCAGGCCTGTATGCACTGGCTCCACTATCTGATGGAAACAGACCCCCATCTGCACCTCCAGCACGCCAGGAATGGCGGTGAAAAAGAGTTCACGTGTGGAGAGGGTCAACATCGGTACACCGTGGATGGCTACGATCCAGCGACAGGCACCGTCTACGAATTCCTGGGCTGTTTCTGGCATGGGTGCCAGGCCTGTCACAAGACCCGACGTGGAGAACCGCATCCCGTCCTGGGCTCGTCGTTGGGAGCCCGTTACACCGACACCCACTACCGCTTGAGTCTCTTGAGTCAACACCCTGAGGTGAAACGGATCGTCACCCTGTGGGAGCACGAGTTTACGAAAATGCAACGGGAGGACTCCGCACTGCGTGCTTTCTTGCAGGGACCCCGCTGTATCCACGTCCCCGGGCCGCTCAACCCTCGCGACGCCTTCTATGGAGGACGCACCAATGCGACGCGATTATGCTACGAAGCCCAAGAAGGTGAAACCATCAAGTACATCGATATTTGTTCCCTTTACCCCTACATTTGTAAGACCGGAGCGTTTCCCACGGGACACCCGACCCTTCTCCATCAACCCCCTGTGGACACGTTGTTTGAACTGAAAGGTCTGATCCAATGCCGTGTCTTACCCCCGAAACGACTTTACCATCCGCTACTGCCTTACAGATCGGGTGGCAAACTGCTCTGTCCTTTGTGCCGCACGTGTGCCGACACCCGGTCAGACTCCCCCTGCGAGCACACGGACGAAGAGAGGTCATGGGTGGGGACGTACGCCACCGTAGAACTACAGGAAGCCGTGAAGAAGTATGACTACCGGGTGCTTCAGATCTACGACGTTTGGCATTTTGACACCTTTGCACAGCATGACCCCGACACCCAGCAAGTGGGACTCTTTGACACTTACATCGGTCGACATTTCAAGGAGAAGCTCGAAGCCAGCGGATACCCCGAAGGATGTACGGATCACGACGCGTACATCCAGGAGATCTACGACAAAGAAGGCATTGGGTTGGACAAGGACCGCATCGAAAAAAATCCAGGACGTCGCACGATTGCCAAGATGCAACTGAATTCGCTCTGGGGCAAGTTTGGGCAACGGGTAGACTACAGTCAGAACGTGTATATGAACGATCCTGTACAGTACTTTGCCTTGTGGAGGGATGAACGCAATACCATCGAGGATGTGGTCGTTGTCAACGAACACATGGTGGAAGTGACCTACACCCAGCAGAAAGAATTCCAAACCCCTCATTCTCATTTCAACGTTGCCATCGCTGCTTGGGTCACCGCCCAAGCACGTCTCAAGCTGTACGAGACCCTTGCCCTGGTGGACCGCAGGGTGTTCTACTTTGACACGGACAGCGTCATTTACATTCATCGACCCCACGACGCGAATCCAGAGCTGGGTCATTCGTTGGGTGAGTTTACGGATGAACTGGACGGAAACACCATCAAGACGTTTGTGTCGGGAGGCCCCAAAAACTATGGCTACGAGTTAATGAACCCCAGACCCGATGGAACGCGCACGACCTGCAAAGTGCGAGGGTTCACTTTGAATTACCGAAACCAACGCCATCTCAACTTTGACACCATGAAAGGACTGATACTGGGACAACGGCCTGGGAAAGAGGAGGAGAAAATCAGTTTGGATTACCCTCATCAGATCATTCGAAAAGGCCCTCGGCACGAAAACGCACTCGTGACCCGACCCACCCGAAAAGACTATCGTACCGTGTACGACAAGCGACGCATCGTCTACGACGACATCACAGGGCTACCTGTAGACACGCTCCCCTTTGGGTACAGAGACGACTTTCACTAAAATTTTTCATGACAGCGTATCGAAACTGAATCGACATGGACCCCTACAGAAAAAAACGGATCGAAATCGGCCCAATCCGAAGCCTGGATGATCGACCAATCAGAGGCCGCGCTCGGGCCAGGGTGGCCTCTGATTGGTCGAACCGAGGTTGTGCTTTCTCTCTCACGCTACAAGCCTAACCCTATGGAAAAGAAACACAAGGGTCGGTCCAGTTTGGAAAACCAAGGTGAAAGTCAGGCCCCGGAACGGTCCAATCAGAAAGCAGGACCTCCGTGGCTTTTAATACGACCGACGCTCTCCGGTCATCACTTTTCACTGAACGGACCAAGCAACAACATCGTCCCCTCTGATTGATGTTCCTCACGTTGTGTTGGTTGTTGGCGTTTTATCTGGAAGAAACGCGTGTTTGGAGAGAGTACCATCAAGTGTTGACGTACCTCCGTGAAGACTTGGAAAGAAACAACAACAACAACGAACAGAACATCCGGACAACATCATGTCGAACAACATGTCGAGACGGTTGAATGACAAGACACGAAGCGACATGAGTGGCCAAGGAAGCAGTGGAGAGGGGAACGGTAACATGACTGCTGAACTGTGGGGTGAAGTGTACGACTTGCTGTGTTTAAAGATGAAGACCGACGACGCGTACGCCAAGTTACGTGCGAAGGGCGACAACCTGATGTGCGACCAGATACGTTCAAAGATGAGGAAGCTGACTGAACCCGAGAAAGTCACATCGAAGAAGACGATCAAGAAGATCCAGAAGAAAAAGACACGCAAACCCACAGCCGTGGTGACCCCCACAGCAATGGCAACACCCCCCACCCCCACCCCCACCCCCACCCCCACCCCCACAGCGCCAGTCCCCACCACCACCACCACCACCACAGCAGCCACAGCAGCCACAGCAGCCACAGCAACCACGACTGCGGCGACAACAGACATCGACACGAGGGGGACATCCTTTTTGAAACCTGCCACCACACCTGCAACGCCTGCAAAAAGACGATCACGGAAGAAATTATCTCTGAAGATCTCTCCTCAAGAACAACTGTAAGTACCCTGCTCTTCTTTGTCTCAGTCATTCTTGATGTGATTCATATGCATGACCTATGCCTATCCTAAATGGACTCTGTCCTTATGATTGACAGGACCCCTGATGTCAGTTCAGCCCAGTCCGTGCTAGAACAGTGGTGGGAACAAACCCCTCGGGAGCCCACCTATTCACCGAATGCCCCTGTGACGATGGCGACGGGTGACCTCGATGATCATGAAGCGCTCAAGATGGCCACTCTCCCTTCCATGGATCTGGATACGCTCCCCCTGCTCGAGGCTTCTTGGTCACCAGCATCCCCGGAAGAGGTTCATGTCTACTCCTCAGGTACGCCCATGGTTTGCGACGATGATGATGATGATGACAACGTTGACCTGGATCCTTATGGAGAAGCTCAACTCACTCCCCTACAACGCGAATGTCGTGTTTGCCGACACAACAACATGTTAAGATACATCAGTTGCAACAGCGGGCAAGTGATGTGTCATGCCTGTGAGCTGGAGCTCATAGACTGTACTTGTAGTATGTTGACCTATGACAGCATAGTGACACATGATGACATGCCTATCGCATCTGAGGATCACATCTTATGGTGATCCTCCTCTTCACTCGAAGAACTTTGTCAACACGGCAGCTGCAACCGTGATCAAGTAATGTGTCATGTCTGTTTCAGGGAGGCCATAGACTGTACGTGTTGAACGGTTGGGCCTCTCACAGGTTTGAGGGAGGACCCCCTCTTAGGGACTTGAAGATGGAAGAGCTTGAAGATGGAAGAGGAAAACGTGGTCGCGTTATTGTTGTTGTTGTTGTTGTGGCGGTGGTTGTAGGGACATGCAAAGCACTCCCTCCTCCATTGACTTTTCGTATTTCCATTGTATCGGGTTGTGATTGGTTTTTTCATGATTAAACAGTGATTGATTGAACTGGCTCTTTGTGTCTTGATTGATCTCAACTCCAATAGAGTGCCGAACCGAGGGTAGAGGTTGAGTTGAGATGTCGTTGACGTCGTCTGTCTGTCCGTCTGTCTGTCTGTGCCTCTGTCATGTCAGTGCACAACAAAGTGAAGAAATAAAATTAAAAATAGATAAAAGAGAAAGGCCATGCTTGAAAGATCAGCTGCCTGGTGTCAGTCATTCCAGGACACATCGATCCCTACACCCCTCCCCGTGTGCCATGTCATGTCATGGATCATGTCATGGATCATGCCGTGTGTCCGTCAACCCAAACACAGGATGACGTCACGTGATGAGGTGGAGGAGATGGAGAGTTTCATAAAAGCTATGACCTTCCGTTGAAGGGTGTAGGGTGGAGAGTTTCATAAAAGCTAAAGTCATGACCTTCCGTTGAAGGGTGTAGGGTGGAGAGTTTCATAAAAGCAGGCGAACCCTCAGACCTTCTTTCAGTGAAGTCACCGTCATCATGGAGCAAAGACGTTCTATGAATGCCATGTCATCCTCCCGAGATGTCGTCACCGATTCCGAGTGGGTGTCTGAAAAGGCGAGAGAACAAGAAGCGAGAAAACGTTCACTCTTGATGGACGACACACTCTTGATGGACGACAGGTGTCGACTCGGTGACGTTCTGGAGAGACCTTTTCCTTCTTACACCTTGTGTCAACCTTCTCATCCCCACTATGATTCATTTCAAGAACGTCTGAGGTCTTTTAAAACGTGGCCTCAACAGATGACCCAGACCCCTTATGACATGGTCATGGCTGGCTATTTCTATCCAGGACGAGGGGACTGTGTGACCTGTTATTGCTGCGGTGTGGCACTCCGCCAATGGGAAGCCACAGACCAACCCTGGAAAGAACATCTGAAGCATGCCAAAGTCCCCTGCGAATACTTGTGTGTGTTTTGTCCTGATGGAGAAGTGAACGAAAAATACAGACGTTTGGTGTCCCAAGAAGCACGGAAACGAAGAGTCGAGTGTCTTGTTCACCCCAAGTGACAACGTTTTGTTGTTTTTTTCAAAGTGGTCAGACGTTCCTACCCTCGCGGTCACCCCATCCCTCGTGTTCACAAAAATCACAGGGATGTCCCCCCTCATCCTGTGACTTTTGTTTTGTGGTGTTGGTTCATGTGATCAGGGGGATTAAATTTTTTGTTAAAAACGCATAGTCGTGTTATGTTGTCTGTAGGATGAAGAAAAAACAAAACAGGATCGAAATGCACATCCCGATAAAAAACCGGATCGAAATCGGACCAATCCGAAGCCTGGGTGGTCGACCAATCAGAAGCGGCGCTCGGACCAGGCGGGGCTCTGATTGGCCGAACCGGGGTTGTGCTTTCTCTCCCATGGTAAAATCCATTTCCTATGGAAAAGAAACACAGGGGTCGGTCCGTTTTGGAAAACCGAGGTGCGGGCCAGGCCCCGGAACGAACCAATCGGGGGCGCTGCCTGGGGAACCAATCAGGAAGTAGGGTGTCAGTGTCTCTCCTATAAAAACAAAACAAGAGCGAAGCCACTCACACACACTGCATTCTATGAAACCCATCATGTCAGCTCGATACAGATGTAGGATGTGCCAGACCGACAGTCACAGTTACCTGTACTGCCCTGAAGTGACATGTACCGAGTGCCACACTCAAGGTCACCGTCACTATGTCTGTCCGAAGCTGAACAGTCAAGAGAAGCAGGAGAAGCAGTACCAGGGCCCCTGTTACAACTGTGAAGCCCTGGGTCATTTCGCTGCAGATTGTCCAGAACCCCGTCGAAAGAAGACTCCCCATCGCCTGGACCGCTGTTACAACTGTGGAGCCCTGGGTCATTTCGCTGCAGATTGCCCAGAACCCAGTCGAAAGAAAACGTTAGCAACACCGTCCACGTCGACACCCGTGGCATCCGTGGCAACCGTGACCCCCGTGGCCCCCGTGGCCCCCGTGGCCCCCGTGACACCCGTGACACCCGTGGCACAAGTGCTTCATCTCATCGAAGACATGCATTCCGATGTCCTCGACCTAAAAGAATGTCTCACACAACTCCGGGTAGGCATCACACCTCGTCTAGAGAAAAGAAAACGGAACAGGTCCCCCTCACGAAAACACGTTTCAAAGCGCCGACGACACCTTCCGTCCGAGGATGAGATGGAAGTAGAGGATGGAGAAGTGAGATCCTCTGAACAAAGTGACTAACGCATGGGTCATGCTGCCCCACTGTTTTTACCCGTTTCCCATCGTTTGCAGTTTTTCCAGTGTTCCAGTGTTCCTGCCGTTTCCAGTTTCCAGTTTCCAGTTTGTTTTCCAACGGCCCTTTTCAGGGCCACCCATCTCTCCCGAAAGACAGCTTTTCCTCCTTTGCTTTGACGACCCTCCCACCCCTTCTCCCCTCCCCCTCCCTCCCTCCCTCCCTTCACCACCCCCACCACCACCCCCACGCCTATTTCTATTTTTAGAACCACACCACAACAACAACCCTGTCGATCTTGTTCCCCCTCGTACGTGCGCTTCTCCGGGTTTTCCCCCTCCTCCCCGGACACGGATGTTCCGCCATCTTGCATGCGTGCGCCACCGGACACGGATGCGACGCCATCTTGGATGCGCGCGCAGGTATCCCATCATGCACTGCGCAGGTCACGTGACCGGAAACGGATGTGCCGCCATCTTGGTCCCAGAATCTGGAGCGGTCCCAGAATCCCGAGCGGTCCTGGACCGATGCTAGTTACTACTAGTGTTGTTCTTTTGGGATATAAACGCTGATGCATGAGCGTTGTTCTTGTGCGATATAAATGTTGATGCATGGGTGTTGTTCTCGTACGATATAAATGTTGATGCATTGGTGTTGTTCTTGTGCGATATAAATGTTGATGCATGAGTGTTGCTCTTGTGGAATATAAACGCTGATGCATGGGTGTTGTTCTTGTGCGATACAAACGCAGATGCAAGGGTGTTGTTCTCGTGCAATATAAACGCTGATGCATGAGTGTTGTTCATGTACAATATAAACGCTGATGCATGGGTGTTGTTCATGTACGATATAAACGCTGATGCATGGGTGTTGTTCATGTACAATATAAACGCTGATGCATGGGTGTTGTTCTTGTGCGATATAAATGTTGATGCATGGGTGTTGTTCTTGTGGGATATAAACGCTGATGCATGGGTGTTGTTCTTGTGCGATATAAATGTTGATGCATGGGTGTTGTTCTTGTGCGATATAAATGTTGATGCATGAGTGTTGCTCTTGTGGGATATAAACGCTGATGCATGAGTGTTGTTCTTGTGCGATATAAACGCAGATGCATGGGTGTTCTTCTCGTGCAATATAAACGCTGATGCATGAGTGTTGTTCTTTTGGGATATAAACGCTGATGCATCAGCGTTGTTCTTGTGCGATATAAATGTTGATGCATGAGTGTTGCTCTTGTGGGATATAAATGTTGATGCATGAGTGTTGCTCTTGTGGGATATAAACGCTGATGCATGGGTGTTGTTCTTGTGCGATATAAATGTTGATGCATGGGTGTTGTTTATGTACGATATAAATGTTGATGCATGGGTGTTGCTCTTGAGCGATATAAACGCTCATGCATGGGTGTTGTTCTTGTGCGATATTAATGTTGATGCATGGGTGTTGTTCTCGTGCACTATAAATGTTGAAGCATGAGTGTTGTTCTTGTGCTATATAAATGTTGAAGCATGAGTGTTGTTCTTGTGCTATATAAATGTTGATGCATGAGTGTTGCTCTTGTGGGATATAAACGCTGATGCATGGGTGTTGTTCATGTACGATATAAACGCTGATGCATGGGTGTTGTTCATGTGCGATATAAATGTTGATGCATGGTTGTTGTTCTTAAGCGATATAAACGCTGATGCATGGGTGTTGTTCATGTACGATATAAACGCTGATGCATGGGTGTTGTTCTTGTGCGATATAAATGTTGATGCATGGATGTTGCTCTTGAGCGATATAAACGCTGATGCATGAGTGTTGTTCATGTACAATATAAACGCTGATGCATGGGTGTTGTTCATGTACGATATAAACGCTGATGCATGGATGTTGTTCTTGTGCGATATAAATGTTGATGCATGGGTGATGTTCTCGTGCGATATAAACGCTAATGCATGGGTGTTGTTCGTGTACGATATAAACGCTGATGAATGGGTGTTGTTCTTGTGTGCTATAAACGCTGATGAATGGGTGTTGTTCTTGTTTGATATAAACGCTGATGAATGGGTGTTGTTCATGTACTATATAAACGCTGGTGCATGGATTTTGTTCTTGTGCCATATAAACGCTAATGCATCAGCGTTGTTCATGTACGATATAGATGCTGGTGCATGAGTGTTGTTCATGTGTCGTGTTTCTCAGATGTGATGTATGCGTGGATAGGTCTTTCTCAGATGTGATATATGCGTGGATAGTTGTTGTCAGATATGACGTATACGTGGATAGGTCTTTCTCAGATGTGATATATGCGTGGATAGTTGTTGTCAGATATGACGTATACGTGGATAGGTCTTTCCCAGATGTGATACATGCGTGGATAGGTGTTGTCAGATGTGATGTATGCGTGGATAGGTGTTGTCAGATGTGATGTATGCGTGGATAGGTGATGTATGCGTGGATAGGTGTTGTCAGATGTGATATATGCGTGGATAGATGTTGTCAGATGTGATATATGCGTGGATAGGTGTTGTCAGATATTACGTATACGTGGCTAGGTGTTTCCAGATGTGATACATGCGTGGATAGGTGTTGTCAGATGTGATATATGCGTGGTTAGGTTTTTTTACCAGATGTGATATATGCGTGAAAAGTTGTTGTCAGATATGACGTATACGTGGATAGGTCTTTCCCAGATGTGATACATGCGTGGATAGGTGTTGTCAGATGAGATGTATGCGTGGATAGGTGATGTATGCGTGGATAGGTGTTGTCAGATGTGATGTATGCGTGGATAGGTGATGTATGCGTGGATAGGTGTTGTCAGATGTGATATATGCGTGGATAGATGTTGTCAGATGTGATACATGCGTGGATAGGTGTTGTCAGATGGATATATGCGTGGATAGGTTTTTTTACCAGATGTGATATATGCGTGGATAGTTGTCAGATATGACGTATACGTGGATAGGTCTTTCCCAGATGTGATACATGCGTGGATAGGTGTTGTCAGATGTGATGTATGCGTGGATAGGTGATGTATGCGTGGATAGGTGTTGTCAGATGTGATGTATGCGTGGATAGGTGATGTATGCGTGGATAGGTGTTGTCAGATGTGATATATGCGTGGATAGATGTTGTCAGATGTGATATATGCGTGGATAGGTGTTGTCAGATGTGATATATGCGTGGATAGGTGTTGTCAGATGTGATACATGTGTGGAAATGTGTTGTCAGATGTTATCTATGCGTGGACAAGTGTTTCCCTAGTGTGATGTATGCGTTGATAAGTGTTATCCAAATGTGATATATGCGTGGATAAATGTTGTCCCGTTGATTGGCGTTGTCGAGGTGTAATGCTGTCGTTGTAGCGTACGAGTTGAGGGGATAGACTAATACTCCTGATGGTGACGTTGATGTGATTTACATCACGTGTGTGCGGGCATCCGGGTCATTTGGAGCCTCTGAACTGTTGCTTGTGTCCTGACAATTAAGTTACAACCTGGAACACGTGGCTGAACCTGGGGACCCCATTTCACCTCATCCCACAACAATTTCCTAATTGATGATGTAAACTAGTCTGCAAATATTAAACTGGTGTAAAGACGCTAAGTGCCCCCGAGATTTTATTATGCGACAAAAAAACAAACACATTTCTCCACTTTGTATCGTACACCGATGAAAGTACTATGAGGCGAATTTTCTCTTTGAACAATTTTACGGAAACCGTGAGAGAACAAAATACTACACATACCAGTGCAATGCCAAGGCTGGACATGAAGTTTGGACGAAAATGGAAAGCAATTGGATAGATAAAGTGTGAGATGTCAATCTGCCAG